ATGAATGTCCATTTTGTATCTGTGTATTCAAAGTGGTTGGGATAGATATATATTTGCATTCTCTTAATGAATAGAATGATTTTTTCTAATGGTGTTTGTAAGTAGGTTCACAAGTCTGCATCTTGTACAGCAATTAACCACTAAGAAGAATGTATGCACTGTATTATTTTTTGAAACTGTACTTTCGATTTGATTTGAAACTCTCTCATTGCTATATGTTTATCAATAAAACTTTGAAAAGAAAAAAAAATAAAATTAAAGCCTAAAACTCCTAGAAAATATTCTTCAATTTCTAGAACTGATCTGTTTCTAAGAAAGTAAATCTGTCTTTTCCAGAAGTAGATATCCTGATGGGATTTTATTCTGACAGTCTTACTCTATAATGAGCATATTTAAAACATTAGTGTGGGCATATATATTATGGTGGATGTTTGTCTATGAATGTCTTATTGACATATTTTATGCCATAATACTGAATCTTATGTTTTTCAGAGCATAAAGATAAAGTATCATCTTTAGGAAGTTCAAACTCAGCACCACCATTTTGGAACAATACTGTACTGTTAATTTCTTAGGTCTGCAGCTTCATTCTTTAAGTTTCTATTGAAAGTCCTCTTGTTTTCTTACCTCCTTGAGTTTCCCTGTGGTGAAGGCCGGTGACAGCACTGTTCTTATCCTCTTCCATTCTTCATCTTCAGATATAGTGAGGGCCTTCTTCATAAATCCCACAGGACCAAAAGACTGCAGTCCAAATAAATCAAGATATTTCACCCTTTGGAGTTTCCCAGAATTAGAAGAATTTGTAGAAACACATCACTGCTTACAAACTATTTACTGGTTGTGTGTAAGCTGAGTGGCCCTTAGACACTCAACAAATATTTATTTCAAATGACCAGATATCTGGGAGGTGGTAGAAATACTTTGACATCTGCAAAATTTCCACATAGTTAGGAAACTCTTCCAGGTAACAGGCAGGAAAAAGCCTATGACATTCTTCTTGGCTGAGCAGAGTGGAAATAGATTAGTAAGAGCTACCAGATGCCTTGGTGAACTGTAGAGTGCCTTACACCGGTTCTGTCTTGGTGTTTATATAGTTAGGAGCACCGATGGAAAGCTTTGATATGGTAATTTTATAAACAGTAATGCTTAATATTTAAAAGATTAGGACTTTATTACTTTGGAGAAATAAGACAATTTCATAGAAATTCTGTGGGTTTTTTTTCCCCTCCAGAGACAGTTGAAAATAGAATGATACTTCATTCTTCAACTTTGGAGCTGACTAATCAATCAAAGTTCCTTAAACTTTCCACTATGATATAAAAATATATATTCTGCATTAAATGGAAAGTTCCAATAGTTATTCATGGCAAAAATGAAGGATAGGAAGAGAGACTCTTCCTCAATTTAATAAAGTATTCTACAGAAAACATGTCTTTAATAATGCTCTGAAACACTGTATGCTTTTACCCTAACAGAAGAAACAAATTTTCAAAATGTCTCATTTGTTCATACACAGAAAGAAGGTTGAAGTAAAAATCATTAGAGTGCAAAATATTAATTACAACATGTTTGGAGGCGGTTGTGGAGGGTGACTACAAGGAGGATGAATTTCATCAATACATGATCAAGGCAAGTAGCATATTGAGTTTCATAATGTCTACACATAATACATGTTACACAAAATATTTAGATGGATTATATAGAAATTCTCAAAACCTATTAGTACAGGTAAAATTGGGCAAAATAAGGAAAACTAAAGGTTATATTTTTTCTAATATCCATTCTAAGCACTGTATTTCAACATCATAATCAAATTGTCTGTTCTTGAACTTTTGCAGATGTGAAAGTGTCACCACCACTTCCCAGAAAGATGGTCATTTGTAGTAAACATCTTTTGAGTGTCTGATCTAGAGCCAGTCAGTTGACACAGAGCCAGTTCAATTATTGCACTAACTATTGCCCCTTTTCCAAAGTTATATGCTTTGGAAGGGAAAACATTTTCTAAGGTAAATTTTAAGATAGAAAAATCTCACATAATACACAAAAACCTCTGGAACTGATCAAGGTTTCTGTATATACTAAGTTAGCATACATTAACCAGGCATAATTCTAAAATAAAATGTGAGTATGTGAAAACACTTGAAATACATATTTCAGAGCTGTGGAGATGGCTCAGTAGATTAAACACTTGCCTGGCAAG